ATTTTCTAAGTATCATTGTCAACTCCTTTGTAGATAGGAGTTACCCTCGCGGTTTTTAATTTATCGGGGAATTGTCACCTCCTTTGTAGATAGGAGTTACCCTCGCGGTTTTTAATTTATCAGGGAATACCCCTGTATCTCTGTCACCTCCTTTGTAGATAGGAGTTACCCTCGCGGTATTTAATTTACCAGTGACTGTCACCTCCTTTGTAGATAGGAGTTACCCTCGCGGTATTTAATTTACCAGTGACTGTCACCTCCTTTGTAGATAGGAGTTACCCTCGCGGTATTTAATTTACCAGTGACTGTCACCTCCTTTGTAGATAGGAGTTACCCTCGCGGTATTTAATTTACCAGTGACTGTCACCTCCTTTGTAGATAGGAGTTACCCTCGCGGTTTTTAATTTATCAGTGACTGTCACCTCCTTTGTAGATAGGAGTTACCATCGCGGTTTTTAATTTACCAGTGACTGTCACCACCTTTGTAGATAGGAGTTACCATCGCGGTTTTTAATTTACCAGTGACTGTCACCACCTTTGTAGATAGGAGTTACCCTCGCGGTTTTTAATTTATCAGTGAATGTCACCTCCTTTGTAGATAGGAGTTACCCTCGCGGTTTTTAATTTATCAGTGAATGTCACCTCCTTTGTAGATAGGAGTTACCCTCGCGGTTTTTAATTTATCAGTGAATGTCACTTCCTTTGTAGATAGGAGTTACCCTCGCGGTTTTTAATTTATCAGGGAATACCCGTGTATCTCTGTCACTTCCTTTGTAGATAGGAGTTACCCTCGCGGTATTTAATTTATCAGGGAATACCCGTGTATCTCTGTCACTTCCTTTGTAGATAGGAGTTACCCTCGCGGTTTTTAATTTATCAGTGAATGTCACCTCCTTTGCAGATAGGAGTTACCCTCGCGGTATTTAATTTATCAGTGAATGTCACCTCCTTTGTAGATAGGAGTTACCCTCGCGGTTGTTAATTTATCAGTGAATGTCACCTCCTTTGTAGATAGGAGTTACCCTCGCGGTATTTAATTTATCAGTGACTATCACCTCCTTTGTAGATAGGAGTTACCCTCGCGGTATTTAATTTATCAGTGACTGTCACCTCCTTTGTAGATAGGAGTTACCCTCGCGGTTTTTAATTTATCAGTGAATGTCACCTCCTTTGTAGATAGGAGTTACCCTCGCGGTATTTAATTTACCAGTGACTGTCACCTCCTTTGTAGATAGGAGTTACCCTCGCGGTATTTAATTTACCAGTGACTGTCACCTCCTTTGTAGATAGGAGTTACCCTCGCGGTATTTAATTTACCAGTGACTATCACCTCGTTTGTAGATAGGAGTTACCCTCGCGGTTTTTAATTTATCAGGGAATGTCACCTCCTTTGTAGATAGGAGTTACCCTCGCGGTTGTTAATTTATCAGGGAATACCCCTGTATCTCTGTCACCTCCTTTGTGGATAGGAGTTACCCTCGCGGTTTTTAATTTATCAGTGAATGTCACCTCCTTTGTAGATAGGAGTTACCCTCGCGGTTTTTAATTTAGCAGGGACTACTCGTGTACAAATGCTAAGACTGTTACAAGGGGTGAGCGAAAGAGCAATGATACATTTGCTTAATTTTAGGATTTTGGGGTCCTACACCATCTTTGCCGGTAGTGTCGAATCTATCAATATATTGCATGACTTCTTGAGTAATTGGAGTAATGTAAAAACAAACGCTATCTTGAAGTTCCTCATTGATTTGAATCTACAACCGAGAGAAATACCCTTCATTAAACGGAGATTGATCAATAAGTCGCGATATATTAGCACAGTAGTCGTTTAAACGTTTGTTAATACCATGAGTGTCAGTTCGTTTAATGCTTTCCAATGAGATTATCTGATTGAAAAGTATCCTTGTTACCATTTCCATTCCAACCCGTTAAATGGTTCCACAAATATGAGGTAATTTTTGTTGTCTTTCACAGCATTTTCTAACAATTCAGATTTGGATTTTCAATACGAACATTTTTTTTTTCGTTCCTCCAGTGTCTAAAAATGCCCATTTTTTTTTTTTTTTTTTTTATAGAAAAAAAATTCTTTGGTTCTTTGCATTTTGAATTACCTTATTAAACCAGTCCGGCTGATAAGCTCGCTTAACTCTCTCTTAGTTTTTAAAAGGCACGTGTTTAGGTACAATTCCTGTAAATCATTGCACCACTATCCCATTGCACAATTTATAGCGTTCATTTACTCTACATATTTACGGCTGAATTACCGAGATGGTACAGAAATGCGGAAACGTCAAATTAATTGAAACATCTATATGTGATTAATTTGTGATCTTCATTTACATATTCAATTTTAAGCTTCGAATATCTCTCTAGGAAAACAGGAAAATGGTCACTTATTGTGATTTTAGGGGCTTTTATCACAGATATTAACTGTCGATTAGAACAATATATACGATACATTAATGTGGCTGAATTCTCTGGAATTCCTGTAGGTTCAGAAATCATTTTCGTGAACCAATAGTTATTTACAATCTCCTCTCAATATTTTATTATATAACCATTTGAAATATCGATATTAAAATTACTTAATTGATGTATACTGTAGAATAATCTTATGTCTTTGTTATTTCTTCGTCTAGTTTATCATTTCCAACCATTTGTTTCATTAAGTGGTCTGTAAATAAAACACAGCAGAAATGGATTTGTTTTCTGTATCTTAATTTAACCGTATCGTTTACAAACACATGGTAATTTCAAAATCATTCCTTCCTTTGAAATAAATATTTATATTTGTGTATAAAAGGAGACCAGCGCCACATCTATCTGTTTGTCTATCGTTATAGACAATTTTAAAACCGTCTATGTCATATGTCATAGTTTTAACATTTCTATTTAGGAATGTTTCACAAAAACATATCAAATCAATCTAATTTTCGTTTGTGAATGTTAGTTTCACTTCATCAAGTTTCAATTGAAGATGACAAATGTTTGGAAAGCAAATACTTAATCCTTTTCGTGTTAACCCAAATGTGTTAGCTTTAATTACCTTGCTTGAAAAAATTCTGGAAGTTCCATACCCAGATTTATCAAATTCAGAAACTATAACAGACTGTATTTATCAAGACATTATTTTGAGATAATTATTTGAATTCAAAATAGTTAACACGCATGCGTAAAAGATAGCCGTGACAATTAGAGCGTGCATAAATATTGTTCAAAAGTCAGTTTGATATATTTTAGATGTATAGGCACTGTTCAGTAAATCCTATTTCTGCGGACAATACTTCCTTGCCATTTAAACTTTCTTGATAGTTTCGCTATCCTCGTCATCCCCGTCCCCCTCCAATACCTCGTCCCATCTCCCCTCGACCACAATACACACTCTCCTCTTTGTCACATTGCCCCTATTTCCCTCCAACCTCCGACACGCCGTCCCTTTCAACATCGCCACATCGGTCATGCTCTCTCTCTCTCTGTCACGCCGTCCACTCTCCCCTCTATGGTGGCTGATTCGGGACATCGTAATATCGTTTCGTTTAATGGGAAGCGAGATTGCGATATTACGATAGAACGATACGATACTACGATAGCTCGATGCGATACCACGATATCGCATCGTGCTATCGTAGTATCGTATCGTACACGGTCCACTCTCCCCTCTGTTACACGGTCCACTCTCCCCTATGTTACACGGTCCACTCTCCCGTCTGTTACACGGTCCACTCCCCACTCTGTTACACGGTCCGCTCTCCCCTCCGTTACACGGTCCACTCCCCACTCTGTTACACGGTCCACTCTCCCCTCTGTTACACGGTCCACTCCCCACTCTGTTACACGGTCCACTCTCCCCTCTGTTACACGGTCCACTCTCCCCTCTGTTACACGGTCCACTCTCCCCTCTGTTACACGGTCCACTCTCCCCCACTCTCCCCTCTGTTACACGGTCCACTCTCCCCTCTGTTACACGGTCCACTCTCCCCTCTGTTACACGGTCCGCTCTCCCCTCTGTTACATGGTCCACTCCCCACTCTGTTACACGGTCCACTCCCCCCTCTGTTACACGGTCCACTCTCCCCTATGTTACACGGTCCACTCTCCCCTCTGTTACACGGTCCACTCTCCCCTATGTTACACGGTCCACTCTCCCCTCTGTTACACGGTCCACTCCCCAACCTGTTACACTGTCGCATTTTACCCCCGTTACACGGTCCACTCTCCCCTCTGTTACACGGTCCACTCTCCCCTCTGTTACACGGTCCACTCCCCACCCTGTTACACTGTCGCATTTTACCCCCGTTACACGGTCCACTCTCTCCTCTGTTACACGGTCCACTCTCCCCTCTGTTACACGGTCCACTGTCCCCTCTGTTACACGGTCCACTCCCCACCCTGTTACACGGTCCACTCTCCCCTCTGTTACACGGTCCACTCCCCACCCTGTTACACGGTCCACACTGCCACTCTCCCCTCTGTTACACGGTCTCTCCCCTCTGTTACTCCCCCTCTGGTACATGGTCCACTCCCCACTCTGTTACCCTCTGTTACACGGTCCACTCCCCACCCTGTTTGTTACACGGTCGCATTTTACCCCCGTTACACGGTCCACTCTCCCCTCTGTTACACGGTCCACTCTCCCCTCTGTTACACGGTCCACTCCCCCCTCTGTTACCCTGTTACACTGTCGCATTTTACCCCCGTTACACGGTCCACTCTCCCCTCTGTTACACGGTCCACTCTCCCCTCTGTTACACGGTCCACTGTCCCGTCTGTTACACGGTCCACTCCCCACCCTGTTACACGGTCCACTCTCCCCTCTGTTACACGGTCCACTCCCCACCCTGTTACACGGTCCACTCTCCCCTCTGTTACACGGTCCACTCTCCCCTCTGTTACACGGTCCACTGTCCCCTCTGTTACACGGTCCACTCACCCCGCAGTTACACGGTCCACTCTCACCTCTGTTACACGGTCCACTCTCCCTGTTACACGGTCTGTTACGGTCACGGTCCACTCTCCCCTCTGTTACACGGTCGCATCTGACCCCCGTTACACGGTCCACTCTCCCCTCTGTTACACGGTCCACTCTCCCCTCTGTTACACGGTCCACTCTCCCCTCTGTTACACGGTCCACTCTCCCCTCTGTTACACGGTCCACTCTCCCCTCTGTTACACGGTCCACTCTCCCCTCTGTTACACGGTCCACTCCCCACCCTGTTACACGGTCCACTCTCCCCTCTGTTACACGGTCCACTCTCCCCTCTGTTACACGGTCCACTGTCCCCTCTGTTACACGGTCCACTCCCCACCCTGTTACACGGTCCACTCTCCCCTCTGTTACACGGTCCACTCCCCACCCTGTTACACGGTCCACTCTCCCCTCTGTTACACGGTCCACTCCCCACCCTGTTACACGGTCGCATTTTACCCCCGTTACACGGTCCACTCTCCCCTCTGTTACACGGTCCACTCTCCCCTCTGTTACACGGTCCACTCTCCCCTCTGTTACACGGTCCACTCTCCCCTCTGTTACACGGTCCACTCCCCACCCTGTTACACTGTCGCATTTTACCCCCGTTACACGGTCCACTCTCCCCTCTGTTACACGGTCCACTCTCCCCTCTGTTACACGGTCCACTGTCCCCTCTGTTACACGGTCCACTCCCCACCCTGTTACACGGTCCACTCTCCCCTCTGTTACACGGTCCACTCCCCACCCTGTTACACGGTCGCATTTTACCCCCTTTCCCCTCTGTCAGAAATACTGTCCCCTCTCGACTCCATTTTTCTCCGACTGTCAGTCACACTTTCCCTTCTTCCTTCCGTCCCCCTCCCAGTCATAATCTCCCAAACTCCCAGTCGTACTCTCTCCTCTGTGACACTCTACGTTCCATCGTGTCATCAACTTCCTCGTAGTTTTAACCAATCCCCTGCCCCCGCTCCCTTTATTTCTCGTTAACCCTTAACTGTCGCCTTCTTTTTCCATGAAACAAGTCACGTGGTCATATCTGACGTAACAATGACGGGGAGTGTTAAAACAATGCTATTGAACAATCAACCGTAGAACGGTTTGACATCGGACCCAAAGACTAACGAGGCAACATAAGCAGAACGAAACACGGAAAATCACTTATTGTGTAATGCAAAAACCCACATAGTCTTGTTAAGCCTGTTTCAGAGGTCGAAAAATATTCAAATTCAGATAAAGTTGATCAAACGATCCATCACGCTCTGTTGATGGTACTCCAAGCTGATGTTTTGATTGTGATAAGAACAGATGAAAAATCGCGAAAACTGTTCTTGTTACTGAGGAGAATGACCTTGGTTTCAAACACAACAGCAACGTCAGTATTTCTAGAGAAAACATTATTTATTTCAGGTTTTTATGAGATCGATTGTTAAAATGATTTCTTTGTTTAATTTGGAGAAATACACAGTTTATCTTGTAATGTCTGTGTACACCTCTACTTCATACTTTGTCTAGATTTGTCCAATACACTGTTTATCTTGTATTGTCTGTGTACACCTCTACTTCATACTTTGTCTAGATTTGTCCAATACACAGTTTATCCTGTACTATCGTGTACACCTCTACTTCATACTTTGTCTAGATTTGTCCAATACACAGTTTATCTTGTACTGTCTGTGTACACCTCTACTTCATACTTTGTCTGGATTTGTCCAATACACTGTTTATCTTGTACTGTCTGTGTAAACCTCTACTTCATACTTTGTCTAGATTTGTTCAATACACAGTTTATCTAGAAATGTTGCTATACAACGCTACTTTTAGTTTAGAATAAAATGAACAATTGACGCGGGTATCAATGGGAATAAGACCAGGTGTTCCTGGAGGGAAAGCAATATCTGCTTCATAGACCACAACCGCTATGTACATTGTAAATCTTACTCAATCTAGTTTTGTACATAGCTGTTATTTTATCCATTTACATAACAGATATACACAGATTTTGTCTCTTTAATCCATAGATCTAGCTGCCTACAATACTGTATTCTAACCTGTGTTGATGAATACAAAGTAGAAGATTTATCTCGTGGGAGTTGTCTCCCCTTAACCACTGAGAAATTCTGTAGTGCTATAACTATGAGAGAGTGAAACGCGCGATTTACTATCGTGAATAAAAAGAAATATTATAAATGTTATATTCCCGTATTAATATTTTTGATTACCTAAGAACGATATTATCATTTAAACAGTAATGTTCTGATGAAACGTTACACAGATACAAAAGCATACAGTCAGAAAAAATATTCAAATTCCCTCCACATTACTTTTTCTGTTCTCATTAAACAGGAAAGAATGTGCTTCTGTCAACCCTAGAGATGTTCATTCACAGTGGATTCAATCGCGTTAACCTATACAGGTAGTGCTACAGACTATCTTGCCATCTTAGTACATCTACTATGAATGTTTGACAATAGTAAAGACTTGGTAGATAAGCGCGTGATATAACTAATAAAGCGGTTCTTCGGTAGGTAAAATGCAGCATTTCAGGCATAAATCATTACAGACTTGTAAATATTAATACAGGACGAGAAAGGCCTTGTCGAAGTTTGTCAAAAAGCAAAATTAAGATCGGTAGATCCGCCATTATTTTATTTTAACGAACAACGGCGTACAAAACAATTAACGAAACTGGCCCAGGAAACCAGCCGTCTTCTCCTATAATTTATCGTACAGAACATGAATTGTACCGGTATAAATCAACCCGGACGGTGTATGATACAGTACAGAATTGTACCGGTATAAATCAACCTGGACGGTGTATGATACAGTACAGAATTGTACCGGTATAAATCAACCTGGACGGTGTATGATACAGTACAGAATTGTACCGGTATAAATCAACCCGGACGGTTTATGGTACAGTACAGAATTGTACCGGTATAAATTAACCCGGACGGTGTATGATACAGTACAGAATTGTACCGGTATAAATCAACCTGGACGGTGTATGATACAGTACAGAATTGTACCGGTATAAATCAACCCGGACGGTTTATGGTACAGTACAGAATTGTACCGGTATAAATCAACCCGGACGGTGTATGGTATCAGGGAATGATAATAGAATGAACAATTGGGTAAAAATTCTGTTACTTTGAGGTTAACAATAATCTTTCATTGCTCTAGTAAAACACAATAAATTAGGTTGCATTGCCGAGGTGTAGATGAAGTTAAAACATCATAAAACGCACCCTAAAAGAAAACATCCTATCAGATTTTATCAGTTATACTAACGCCATTCTCCAACCGTCATATAATCAAACCGTTACCCTTCACGGAGTGTACCGTGCAAATAACAAAGATAAAACTTAGAAAATTAACGCATGTTTTACACACAATAAATGTCTTGGTATTGAATAAATAACCAGGTGACTTCAGCGTTAATTTGTCTGAGTACGTTACCTAGGAACGACATACTTTGTACTAAGTTGTGATGAGAACATTTCTTAACGCAGCCATTTCGGCAACACGCAGATCAGGCAAATGTAACCAATAACATTGATTTTACGATTAAATCTACATTTGCTCTCAACAATAGCACGTATATCCAATCCCTGGCTTGTCAAAGACTGTATTTTCATTTTATATCGTTCTGTAAATCACTCGGGCCATGTAGAATATATATAAAAACATAATCTACATGCTTTATTTCGGGACTTTTGTAATGAAACAAATCCTCCCAGATATTCTATCACGTGATAAGTCGTTGGTAATAAAACTCACATCAAAATCAGTTGAGCTGTCTCGCAGGGAATTTATATTTCTGGATTGGCGCAACATTTTGCATGTAGATGCAAATCAAAATCGTTTGTAGAATAACTTCAGCAATCAAAATGACATTGGTGAGCGATTTAGAATGGTTTAGAACGTATATGCATTTGTTTTACTACCAAGCCTCTGAGGTAATCTACCTGAACCTCACATGATCAATTGGATACTTCAAAGTTTCTGGAACATTTCGATACTTATTATGAACAAAAACTACAAAAGAGTTCTCAGTAAAACTTAACGAGGCAAAGCGAAGGCAAAATGTAAGGCTATTTTGCACGGCTGTTCCATATGGTGCTAATGACCGCACAAGGACTCGCTATTTATTTTGAATTAACTATTTTTCGCGAGAATCCATTGAGAAAATTCCAACATTCTCTTTGCTGGCTTGTTGTTTAACCTAAACTTTACCCAAACTTTTCACTGCCATTCTGTGTAATATCAATTCTGGGTTACTGTCTGTTTTCACTTTTGACTGATCTTGAGCACCATTTTTTAAATTATATATGTCTTCTATTAGACCATCTTACCAATCTGTACACTATCACGTTTTATTCCAAAATGAATGAACGTTGTTTTCTCTTGTTAAAACAATTTGTACTGAAGGTCATAGTTACATGTGTCTTTGGTACAATTTTCCCCTAAGTATCCTATTCTGTTTTTTTTTTTTTTTTTTTCGAAAATTGCTATCCAGCTGTACTAAAATCTCATGTAAAACAGAAATGATATCTGTGTGTCCTTGATTGATCTCCGCTACTTGTATCTAGGTCAGTGTCCGGTTTAGCTGTACATGTTACAACGTTTCCTGTTTCCCGTTAAATCTGTGGGCGTCATTGTGACGTACGATATGTCTCACACATTTATCCGTCTAATTAGCACCCGTTGACTTTTTAAATAACTGAAAAATGCTCCAATTGTTAGCTGTTGAGTTCATGAATCTTTGAGACGACAGAGTTTGCGGGGGCGCTGAAAGACCAACAATAACAGGGAGACAGTTATCCTGTTGGCTTGGCGAAAATGATAATTAGCGGGGCGATTTAATAGACAAGAGAGGCATCGTGTAATACAAAAATGGAAAATAAAGTACATCATTTTGCTGTTCCGATTCAACAGGACTCCAAAGTCTTATCACGACTATAAGATGTGGTAGGTTCAAAAGTGCCCAAGTAAATGCAAACAATCTGAATATATGGTAGTTTGGTTGTCTAGTGACTTGCTTTCAATTCAGTAAAAACTTAATTTTCTACAGTTACTAAAAAATCATTGCATGAAAGGTGTTCAAACAGAAACTGGTTACTGAAGCATTATCCAAAATGTTGAGCGACGAGAGTTTTCTATGAAGTGTCCTAAAGATATGAATTTCAAGATATTTATAGATTAAAAATATACAACCGTTGTGTTCCTTATATCAAACAAAAGTTATGTGTCAATTTTCACAAGAATTGAACAGCATTTCCTGTGGCGGCCATCTTGGATTTGGAAAACAAAAATATGCCTAAAACATATCTTGATATGGTCATCAATGTTCACACTAAGTTTTATTTCAATCTTTATAACAATTTTTGAGTAAATGCCTGTTATATTTAAACCAATCGGGGGCTCTATCCGCCACATTTGATGTCGATTGAAAAAAAGAATAAACAAAAGCGCAACCCCGCATAACCATCTACTTTAATGCAATGTTTTGCTTGAATCAAAATGTCGCTTTTCTAGGAATGTTTCGGACAAAGTGCGTCGGAAGAACAACAATGATGATTATATAGACATTTATATCATATTACTAATTTACCGTAGCCACTACACAACAACTGATCTGAATGCATGTTGACTACAGATGATTCAACAACGCGGGATAAATAGCCGAAATACATGCGATTTCAATTCTATTCCTTATATGGATTCATCTCCCATTAACAGTCTCATATTAAATACTATTAA